ACCTCTGCATCAATAGGCCACTAAGGAAAAAGCAAGATTCTCAAATACAACACGGAGAACACCAACCCAGTCACACTTGATGGAGAAACTCTGGAGGAGGTGGAAACATTCACGTATCTGGGAAGCATCATTGATAAACAAGAAGGATCTGATGCAGATGTAAAGGCGAGGATTGGCAAAGCAAGGGCAGCATTCCTACAATCGAACAACATATGGAACTCCAAACAACTGTCAACTAATTTCAAGGTCAGCATCTTTAATACGAACGTCAAGACAGTCCTACTGTATGGAGCTGAAACGTGGAGAACTACTACGACCATCATCAGGAAGGTACAAGTATTTATAAACAGTTGTCTACGCAAAATACTCATATCCATTGGCCGGATACTATCAGCAACAGCGTTTTATGGGAGAGGACAAACCAGCTTCCAGCTGAAGAGGAAATTAGGAAAAGACGTTGGAAGTGGATCGGACATACATTAAGAAAATCACGAATGTGCATTACAAGGCAATGGAATGGTGAAGGGAAGCGGAAAAGAGCAAGGCCAAAGAACACATTACGCCGGGAAATAGAAGGATGAATAGAAACTAGAAAGAACTGGAAAGGAAGGCTCAGGACAGAGTTGGATGGAGAATGCTAGTGAGCTGCCTATGCTCCTCAACGAGGGGTAACAGGCATTACAAGTACAAGTACAAATGGTGTTCGTTAGAGTTGCCCGCTTTCCTCATTATTATTTGACTTTACCATAGATATGCTTCTAAAGATAACACTTTCATCGTCTGACTTTCCAAAGATTAATCTTCTACCAGAAGATTGACTTGTTGACTTACAATACCCATATAATATAGTTGTGTTTCGTGAAGACGCTGGCGAAATGCAATTTTCTGACAACCTTAAGCAACAATGCAAGCACGTTTGGGATGCGTTTTTCTCCCTCCAAATGCAAAATGTTACTTCAGTATGGGCTTGCGTCAGTGCCTAAATTAGTGATAAGGAGTGAAATAGTTAAACGTAACGACCGCATCACTTATCTTAGAAATTTCATCAGTACTGATAGTCTGATGTCTGACGAAGTCTCAGAACATGGCCACGCGAATATATAGCCTCTTCCAATGAAGTCCAACTCACTGCGTTCTCGTGGCGAGGGTGTTGTCTACGTAAGTGAGAGTACGAAAAGCGAATGCCCAGCGAATTAACCGGGTTGGTGGACACGGAAGGTCCACCTAGGGGAGATGGAAAACCCTGACTCTAAACCAATGATCCACATGGGATCCAGTATCCTGAGAGAACAAATGGCGTATGAACCAATCGTTGGTCACCAATTACCACGGGACTGCATCTCCTCACGATGCTCCACTACCTTGTGGGTTAGACCTTTAGGTCAAAGGCTCGGGGTGTGGCCCCCTAAGAAAACCACCTGCTTCGGTCTGGGCAGCCGAGCAGTATCACAGCCCACAAACAAATAAAATGACGATAATTACTGAAAATACTATTCATGCTCCAACTAAAAGTCAGACAATTGACATTATTATTATTTACCGCGTCACTTTTTCACTCTCTTTTAAACCCAATTTGTGTATCCTTACTTTTCAACTTATGCAGCAGCTCGCCCATGGTGGAAACTCTGTTCTATCTAAACGATCTCCAGTCACTATCTGGTCAAAAGTGAATACTTCCACCGAATACGTATGCTAAACCAGTCGTTCTGAAGCCACATACACCATTCAAACTGGCTTCCTTCAACGTTCGCAAACTAATGCATATCGGACAACATATGGGGCTCTCTATGTCTTTAGTAAGTCTTAATATCGACGTTTGTTGTCTATCCGAGACCCCTATTCAAAGACTCTAGTGAAGTACTACAAATCCGCTCCCCATCTGTCGCTTCAAAAGGTTTCTCTACGTGCGTTTATCCGGGGACCCTGTAGCATCTTCGCCTGGTCCTTCTGGCGTTGGTGTCGCGCTAAGCGCTAGAGCTGAGGCAGCACTAATCGATTGGATCCCCATTAACAGTCGGTTATGTGTTGTTAGATTAGAAAGCTCCATCAAAGTGAGAAGAAACCAGAGTAATCTCTGTTTAGGTGGCCGATGGGGACTTGTTGGTCGCAGGACAGATAACGGAGACCGTTTGCTGCAATTGTGCACAGACTACAACCTGTTCCTGGTTAGCACTAACTTCCGGCACAGCCATCGCCGGTGTACCACCTGGCGTCCTCCCTCTGCAATTCAAGCCTGGACTCAGATTGATCACATCGCGATCAGCCACCGCAGGTGTGGTTGTGTACAAGACTGCCGCTCATTTTGGAGTACCTATCTGGAGTCTGATCATGCCATGGTCTGCGCCAATCTTACCTTACTTTTCAGTGGCCAACGAATTGGTCGTCATAGACAGATTGATGTCGGCAAATTGTTTGCAACTTCTGTTGCAAGTAAGTATCGAGCAGAGCTAGCTTCTAGGCTAGCTACCATCCCACCGAAAAGTATAGATGAGCATTGACTGCAACTTCATGACGCCATGAAAATGGCGATTAAAGTCGTTTACAACTTCGCGAAACGTCCCGCTTACAAGGACTGGGTTTCTAAATGCTCCTTACAACTCACTGAAGCACGTGGATCTACTTCGGGTGACCGCCAGTTTGACTATAAACGAATATTGTTATGTATTGAAAATGTGCAAAGCTTACGTAAAGACCGAGAAGCCTGGTAGTCGGAGTGTGCTAACGAGTTGGAAACAGATACTGGATATGGTAACTGCTGGAAGCTCTTCCAGATCATCCGAGCAACTGGTAGCAAGAAGTCTTGTGTAAGCGAAACAATCTGTGAGGATGACGTGATGCCAATCACTAACATCTATCGACGTCTTGGATGATGGACAGAATTTTTTGAAGGGTAGTTCAACTGGCCTGCTGCTCCGGCAACATAGGTCAGATTGTCCTGCCCTCCGTGGCCGGTGAAGACTGATCCACCAAATGAGGCGGAAGACCCAAGAAACTCCAACTCTTGAATCGCTACAAATCGCCAAGCCCAAATAACTTACGTCTATCCCTCTTTAAAGATGGTGTTGACATTCTGGTTAAGGAATTGACTATGTTGTTAACAAAGGTTTGGGAGCAAAGAAAGTGTTCCAACATCATGGAATGAGTCGATAATCGTCCCTATCTTTAAAAAGGGTTCACGTTGTTCCTGTTCTTGATATCAGGGCTGACTTCGATTCGTTGGACAGGACTGTCCTCTGAGATTGTCTATTGAAGAAGGGTGTGTCTGAGAAGTTTATTAACATCTTAAAGGTCCTGTACACGAACACCTCAGGCAGAGTGAGGGCATACAACCACCTTTCTCCCTTGTTCCATTCAAGCAGCGGGGTTAGACAGGGTTGCCCGATCTCACCATTCCTCTTCAACTTTGCCATCGACGACATCCTGGAAACAGCTCTGATGGATGTAAGTAGTGGCGGTGTGGATCTGCTGCCTGGAGAACGACTTCGCGACCTTGAGTATGCGGATGATATTGTCTTACTGTGCGATAATGCCCAAGGCATGCAATCCGTACTTAATCAGTTGGTAATCAGTGTCCGCAGGTACGGCATGTGTTTTGCACTCTCCAAGTGCAAAGTACTCTTACAAGACTGGCAGGATTCTAATCCTGTACTCACCCTGAATGGTGAGCAGATTGAAGTAGTTGAGAAGTTTGTGTATCTAGGTAGCTATATAAGTGCTGGTGGTGGCGTGAGTGATGAGATTGATGCATGTATAATGAAAGCCAGAGTGGCTTATGCCAATCTGGGCCATCTTTGGCGCCTTCGTGATGTTAGTCTGGCTGTAAATGGTCGGATCTACAACGCGTCGATGAGAGCAGTTTTGCTCTATGCTTGTGAAACCTGGCCTCTCCGAGTTCAGGATGTTAGACGACTCTGTGTTCAATCATCGTTGTCTCCGAAGGATTGCTGACATCCAGTGGCAACACCATGTTAGTAATGCAGAGGTTCGGCATCGTGTGTTCGGGTGCAGAGACGATAATTCAATTGGTGTCACCATCTTGAAACACCGACCTCGGTGGCTTGGACATGTTCTACGAATGTCGTCCCAGAGAATTCCACATCGTGCATTATTTGCCGACTCTGGGACTGGTTGTAAAAAGCGGAGAGGAGGTCAGTGTATGACATGGTGTCGTGGCATGAAAGAAAGCTGCAAAGGGCTAACTTCTGTTGGTCCTTTACGACTCCCTGGCTGGGGTCCGAGAGATGGTGCAACACAGTGGCTAGAGACGTTATCAGATATAGCTCAGAATAGAAGCCAGTGGCGATTCCTGCTGTAACCTTCTTGTACTTTCTTCATAAAGAGTGGTTCTAACTTTCTTAACTGAAGGAGTCTTCCGCTTGTACATTTCAGTCCCCCTTATCTTTTCATTCTTTCTCTTCCTATTTTCATTATTTTGTATGGCGCATATGCATCTGGTGCCCTTTTGTACCAATATGTATGTGTTTAAATAAAATAAATAAATAAAGGTCGATATAACCCAAACTGTTGAAAAGTAACTTAAGTAAATCAGCCAAAGTATATGCTTGATTTCAATATAGATTTTATAAAACAAACTTTGAAGAGTATCTACAGAAAAGCTTGACTGAACTGATATTTCATCCATTACAGTTCGGTATAATTTCGTGACCATTACTTCAAACTGGAAAAATGATATGGTCAGGTTTATCTGATATAGTTATTATTCGGTCAAATAAGGAGCAACAAACCTATTTCACTTTGCATCAAACGAATGAATTAATCCGATAAGTGTGTGTTCGACTGCTATATGAGAACCATGTGTGAATTAATAGGATGAAATTGGTTATTACAATTTCTTAAAATACTAGGTAGATGGTGAAAATTGACAACTCTCTTCAACCAGTAAAATGTTCAAAAATGATAATACGTGATAAAAAGCCAGTATCTATTAATATAAGAAATTACCTTAAGTTACACATCGAAACACTAAACAAACAACTAACCTGTTGCTGAAAGTCGACAGTGTACAATTAAACTGTTGATCATTGTATCTAATGCAATTTCATTTGGATTAGCTTCAATCTCTTTGAGTAAATCCGTTAAAAGCATTTCGCATCTAAAAAAAATGAGAACTAAAAGTGAAGTTAAACTTATAAGTAGATAAAATTATCATTAAAATCCATCAAGCCACTACGTAAAATCTACCAAATATTTTAAAGTATGCAGCGAGGAATTGAGAGTTACTAAATGACTATTTTTTAGTAAACTTTGAAGTTTAATCAGTGTGTGAGAGCACATAAACCCCTTAACGATACGGAATGACACCTATAATAATGGCATGATCCACTTAAAGCCCCGAAATATCAGCCAAAGGGTTCCAGAAAAATGGTGGGACACTAGGAAACTTAAGTCTCTTAAGTACAATATGTTACTTAATTAGAGTCAGTCGGCAGAAACTACTGGACCTAAGTTTTGCACTACTGGCGACTCTTCAGCAAGGGATATCTGGAATCTTCAAGGAGTTTAAGCTCTCTATAGTGTTATGTCTTGTGATCACTGACGGATGTCATGAGCCTAGTTACTAACCAGAATACTGATCCTAATTTGGTCTACTATTTACTCGACAGCTTAGTCTCCGAATTGGTCAATTACACATCCAACCAGCACTACAGACCTTAAGCTAAGTCCCCAATGATCTACTATTCGTGAGCCTCTCTCTATATCCCACCTTTGAGTTCAAACGTCAACACCCAGCCTCTACAGTATTTCTATTTTAAACAGACGTGATTTATATACGGACATACCACACCGAATCACATCACAAAGTTAAAAATAACAACCATACATGAACAAGCCAAAAGTGACTATGAATAGAGGAGACTGTGAGTAATAGACTAGAAAAAAGTTAGGAAAAGTAAACCGTGAAACAGTGGTTAATGTATCAACATCCAGTGGCAACACCATGTTAGTAATGCAGAGGTTCGGCATCGTATGTTCGGGTACAGTGACGATAATTCATTTGGTATCACTATCTTGAAACACCGACTTCGGTGGCTTGGACATGTTCTACGAATGTCGTCCCAGAAAATTCCACATCGTGCATTATTTGCCGACGCTGAGACTGGTTTGAAAAAGTGGAGAGGTGGTCAGTGCACGACATGGTGTCGTGGTATGAAAAAAAAGCTGTACAGGACCGGCTTCTGTTGGTCCTTCACGACTCTCTGGTTGGGATCCTAGAGATGGTACAACACAGTGGCTAGAGACGTTATCAGATATGGCTCAGAATAAAAGTCAGTAGCAATCTTGCTGTAGCCTTTGCTAACTGAACTGCTTTTCTCGTTATTATCATTTCACTATTATACACTAATTTATGTTCGTTATTGTTCCTTTTTTTATATGCACCTTACATTATTTATCTCTTCACATTCTCATTGTAATTATGTGGCGCATATGTATCTGGTGCCCCTTTGTACCAATATTTGTGTTCAAATAAATAAAAATAATGTATCAACAGAAAGTTTATGAGTGGAATATATATACGTAGTAATCCAATTAATCAGTAACTATACGACAAAATTGTAATTAATAATAATTCGAAAAACTAGTTCCAACTTCTGCAAAATTTGCTCCGTTATAACATGTAAAATGTGAACCATGTGTCACAGTCACAAAAAATACCACTGGGTTATTCGGACCGGGATAGACCTTTTGCAGGACTAAAAAATTTACACTAACCAATTTCATCGAATATTAACCAGTATTTACCTCAATTTCGAGTCCCTCACATTAGTGACCAGATTGCAAACTAATCGGTAAAACTTTCTATTCCCTAAGAACTAGACAACAAGAAATTGGCTACTATCTACTGATCAATTGGTGCAAATAATATCAATTAGCAGTGAAAACAACTTGAGAATCATTCAAGTGCTAAAAGTCAGCTTAAATGTAGATGAATCGGTACAAAAGACGGAATATTGAAAAAAAAACGATCAAAGTACATCTTAATATGAAGCATTATTCGAGCATAGTTGAAGTTAAATAGAAACAAAAAGAGTACAGAATAATACAAGTTACTACATAAAATAATTTTACCAACAGAATATCTACAGCTTCGTCGAACTATGTAATTAGATAGAAATTACACTCTATAACTTAGAAGGGTTATTTAGCATTATATTACATAGCATGAGTATCATTTCGTTCACATTTTTTCAGTTAGGTTCTACGCCCCAATAGGCGATGGTGATTCAACTAGTACAGGAGATTCAATTTTCACCTAAACGGAAGAAATTCACAATATATCAATCGAAAATACCCTCTATATTAAACTAAACACACTTTAATAACGTATTTGCAAATATACTTTAGAAAACACTTTATTGGTAACAGCGATAACCGGTCTGATGATGGTGAATAAGAAAAAGCTGCTTTGTACTTAACAGTAATAGGACATTTTGTTGACTAATACAAACACAAATCATATTTAGAGTATTCTTTTAAACAAACGCTAAGCAGTAGGTGATTTCTTCCTACTTCCATTACTGAAATACAACTAAGTGCATAAACAGAGTAGTTTTAAAAAGATTACATGTCTATGGGAACTAATTCGCGAAAAGTATCTCCGAACTCGAAGAAACCCATACTTTCCAGATAATGAGATTTAAACTGTCAATGAACCGGCCTTTTGAGAACTAGATTAGATCCATTTACCTACAAGTTGTAGTCAAAAACATCGCAGATCTAAATGAGGTCGGTCTGATTCCACGGAAAATTATCTCTCATTCTTGCTTAAGCTATACCTTTATGGTCAGCATCGACAAGGTTGAGATTTATGTCTAGAGCTATACATCCTGTTACTGATCACCTAACATTCAACACTATGCGACACACCAAACTCTAATCATTTGGCTTGGTGGCTATATTGCGAACTAAGTCAGCACTGAAGATCTGATAGTATTTGTAACTCATGGGGATCACGTTTGCTTAGAATATCTTTTATTCAATACAGTTCAAATTAAGAAGTTCCGAAATTCCACTTTAAAACAGGTAAAAATAAAAACGTTTATTTAAAACACAAAACAACAATCATTCTTACTGCCTTCTTAAGTCCGGATTCGGATCACCAAGTATACGGAAAAGCCCATCCAATAATTGCGGCAAGTAAACAGAAATTTTTAGTCCAGGTATAGCATACAACGTAGAGATCTGATTAATAAAAGGGTTATCAATATGTCACGTTAATATTACTGATTTTTTCAGTTTTAATAAACCAGTCTCTTAACACCTAACGTATATTAATGTATAAAAATAGAAATTATTCACTAAATCATTTACTGGCTTTTGCTTGACATAAAACTTTACGAACGAAAACGTAAACCTGTGTTTTAACACGCAGTATCATGAGTATTAAGGGTTTAACTGATTAACAAGGTGAAATATGCGTAGAATTTAGAAAGCTAGATTTTTAAAATTAACTAGCAGATTCAAGATACTAATTGATTCAACATACTTAAAGTAAATACAACTGTTATCATAGCCCAGAAGAAATAATAACTAAGCAATGATATGCTGACAAATGATTTGTACCACAGTATCACGTTACAAAATTGAAGTTTCCGAAATGTTTCTACAGTGAGCAGAAATTCATCCTATCTAGTAATGATGACAAACTAATTTATGGATAAAGTGAAGGAATAGTTATAATGTAGTAGAAATCAAGAGACGTTCACATGTCATCAATGCCACTGAGGGAAAGAATAGCTCGGTTTGATCACCTTCCAAAGATGTTTGCTACTTCAAGTAAACAAAGGAGTACTTAGCATTCTGTATGTTTCTTTTAAGTAATCGGTCACGAAATAATGTCGACAAATTTATTATTCGTGAGCAAAAGAGGTTAAGAGCCCTTGTTCGCTCTTCAAACAACTATTGTTACAAAAATAAATGAACCACTGGTCAGTTTGAAACGTTTTGGTGATTTACAGAGACATTGGATTTTACTTTTCTCAATTTCTTTTATATCTAGTCTGTAATTAATTAGCTTTTTGCTATCACTACACTTAATAGACCAAAAACATATGATGATGAAAATTCGGGAATTATGACCGAAGCATCCAAAAACGACGATATTGTATGCGTTAACTTATATTATGTGCTAATTGAAATTATACAAAAGTTACCAAACTACGTGTCTAACAACTTTTTGACCAGATTATAAAACAAGCTGAAGATATGTCAATGGATGTGCTATAAATACAATATTGGATACTGGCCCAATTTATCTTAACGGAAACTTGTATGAAAGTATTAGTGAAATTCATTAAGCTTAAATGATAGTTTATTGTAGCTTCAAGGGGGCTAGAAGTTTATTCGTAACTTCAGTTCGAATTTCGCTTTCAAATAATATGCTTAAGTAAGGGAATGAAAAATTCGTAAACAGGAATAGACTACTTATGTAAGCTAAAATATGAGTACATTCGGAGACACCGTGCTATCTGTTGGGGTGATCCACAAAATTTCTCGCAGTAGACAAGAAAGGCTCAGGCAACATTAAGAAACATTTTATCCAATCAGCGTTGACTAGAATTTTTGCTAGAAACATCACGAAAGTGAAAAGTCACATGTAGGGTTTCTGATCGGCTAATTACCACACTGTTACCATGTTTAGTAGCATTCCAGAATTTTCAGGAAAACCCAAGGACTTCTAAGGTACTATAAAAACCCTATACTTTCTGTACATAAATGAACCTTTGGAGTAAAGTGCTTCTCACATATTTTGCGCCTTTTCTCTCGTGTTCAAGTCACCGTGTAGATTTAGCCGGGGGGTTACAAGACCAGCTTAGGATCCGAGTCTAGCGTTCAATTAGCAAGACTTATCACTATCAGACCTGTCCACGACTACAGTTCCTGAAGTTATTGGAACTAGAAAATATAAGAATTAGTAAACATAATAAGTTAGTATCTTGGAACACAAGCGATATAATACACATCAAACTATCGGTGTGAATTACTTTACTCCTTAAATTGGCTTAAGTTTAAAAATATCTTTTAATTCCACTCCTATACCTGTTTTTCTCCTGAAATCATATCTGCTGGATGACATGACACTTTATGGGCATGCACGATTTTGCTAGATTTCATATTGTTCTGGCGTCACTTTCTAGTTACTCTATAGCTAGTGGACTTAGTAAGTACAAAAATATAAGGAGGAAAATCACTTTTGCAGATAGCCGATACACCAACTGACTTACCCAAGAAACAATAAACTGACGAGTATAAGGATTGTTCGTATAAATACGTTCTTTGAGTAATAAGACAATATCTGTTAAGTCACAAATCTCAGTCTCCATGATAATTTCTTTCAAAAGTCTATCACATTGTAAAGCTGACGGACGAACAGAGGAATCAGAGTCCGACACACCCTAAACAAAACAAAATTGGCCAACTAATAATATGAAATAGGTACCGAAACATAAAAATTAGTATTTTCAACAAGTTACCGCAAAACGTAAGTTGGATCAGCTGCATTTAAGATTACGGAAACCATATATTGTTAATCCGAAATTCAGGAAAATGTCCCATTGTTATATTAGTCTACTTACACCATTCAGTCAGTCACAAAGTAGTTTCCCTAGCTTTCATTTCTAGTATTTAATAAAAAGAAATATTACTTGTACTTTGATATCTAACCTTTAATCAACAACATGATAACTAAACACTTACAAATGCAGTCTTGATATGTTAGTTACTCAAAGACAACTAACAAACTACAGCTCAGTTATTAACCAACGGAAATCGAATTCGCCCCACTGAATAGGCTTTTCATAGAAATCACAATTGAAATATCTGGTTTAGTATTTCATAAACGACTATCGGTTTAAATTAAAATTAAGGTAGTGAGAAATGATAACGATAATATTAAGATGATATTAAGCTACGTCAGTCAGTCAGTCAGTCACAATGTAGAACTTCGAACGTAGGTACATCTGTTTGAGTTGCCGTACCAAATTAGCACAGAGATGCAGTCGTCGATTCAAATCCCATAGTGGTAGAGGTAGTAAGAGTATAGGCAGTAATCCGAAAGATTAGGGTTTGAAGATGTTATTCAAGGAGTATATTCCATTGCAAAAGATTTTGAGCCATTTCATTTAAGGTCTCTAACCGTCGGTTGCTATCATCTCGCGGACCCCAACCAAGTAGTCTACACCTACCAACATGGCTCATCCCACTTGTCACTGACTTCATGGATTTGTGCCACGTTTTGGTCTGGCCGCCCCTAGCTTTCTTCCATCCTACTCCTACGCTGTCTTTACCATCTCTCTTGCTTTCGCTACACACCACTGTTCACGGTCATTGCGTAGGTGTCTTGTTAGACTGCGCTTAAGCTGACTCCGCTCTTCGTTATGTTCAGAGCCAGATGAGATGAGTTTTCGAGCATCTATCAGTGCGGTAGATGCTGCTGAGATTCAGTGTTTCTCCCTAACCTTATGGTTTACCGTACTAGTAGATATCACTGCTATTTCCACAGCTTTCCGGATGTCATTCCAAGCGGCCTCGGGATGGACACAACTTACATGGCTGCCTAACTGTTTTTCTAGTTGTTCCTGAGATATATTCTTAGCTAGCCTATCATAAAGTATTACCCTAAGAGGCTTCCTTGCAGCGTCTTTCCTACGTTCAGTAAGACACAGACAGATACGTGTTCACACTAGAGCATGATCTGAATCTCAGCATATATACCGATGGTTAGAGACCTTGAATGACATGGCTCAAAATCGTTTGCAATGGCGAAGGTGCATCCACTCTTTGTGTTCTACCAAATTCTAATCTTCTGAATTCCTCATGTCTTTATCTTTTTCTCTTTCCAAATTTATTTCACTGTACTATACTCCTTCAATAATTTCTTCAAACCCTAATCTTTTGGATTTCTGATTATACTCCTACTACTTCTACCACTATGGGATTTGAATCGACAACTGCATCTATGTGCTAATGTGGTATGGCAACTCGAACTGATGTACGTACGTACGAAGTTCTACGTTGTGACTGACTCCAGAATGAGCGACAGTCTTCTATCGAGCCCCTCCATCAGTGGCTGATAGTGATGTGATCTAGTAGGGTCCAACATTGGGATGAATTCGGGGGTCGCCATGTCAAAAGATGTTTTTCCTTTTGCTTAAAGTTAGTATTTGCAAGAAACAGGCGGTTACCGGAGCGTAGCTGCAACAGACGGTCGCCATTATCTGTTCTTTGAGCCACGACACCACAAGATCCACCCAGGTGTCTTTCCCTTTCACTTAGTTTACCTACCTGAGCATTAAAGTCGCCAGCCACTATTACTACATCAGAGCGCCTAGCTTTTCGGAGAAGGTTAGAAAACTTTCCGCAAAACTCATCTTTTACATCATCTGAGCTGCAGTCAGTGGGAGAGTAGGCAGAGACGACGAAGAGGCAACGATGAGTGTCCCTATCTTTCCGAATCCTTACTGTTCCGTTTAGTCGGACAGCGCACAAACGACTGTCTACTGGGATCCAGTCTAAAAGATCTAGTTTTGCCCTAGGACTTAATCTATACCTACACCAGCAAGGCCACGGGAAGCAGCATCAGGGCTTCCAGATGAATCGAGTTGGTTCTTTAATATGACATGGTGAGGTCAAATGAATGACGCTACTCAAGTCTTGTATGCGAGTTTCGGAGACGCAGCACACATCGATGGTGTAAGATTCTAAAGTCCTAGCTAAGGAAGTCTGTTGTCCTATTTGGCACAATGTTCGGACGTTAAACGTTCCTACATGTAGTTTAGAGCGTAGTTTCAGGAGACCGAGAATAACGTTCCATGTACTCTAATCGTTTGTCCTAGTGGTGCGAGGTGATAAAAGGATGTAAGAAGGGTAAGTCGTGGAGACGAGAGAGTTATTAGGTGTAGGAAGGATTTGAATGTGACCGACTTAATCCCGTGTGCTGTTACGGGTGTGAGGGCTAATATGACTTCCCGGCTGCCCACATCGTGGAAGGGTATTTCTTGAGGGACCTGAAAAGGAAGTTGGGTTAATGTTGGTCTTAACGACCTGGGAGCGTAACCGCAGAGCCCAAGGGACAACTGCTTGAGGCCGGTCACGCACGGCCTTTTTGTGGGGGATTTTTGACGTGTTAGCTCCGTTCTTCAAAAAGCCTTACCGCTGGAGACGAAAATCCGTGAGGTAAGGTGAGGAGTGACATTTCTAGGGTCGACCTTTTCTAACCCCTTCCTTCATGAAATCAATGAAATGATTTCTTGAGTGACAGTCGATCAACTATTTCAGAGGAGGTAGTTGATCAACAAAACTACACTTATTTTCAGTGGTGTAATACCTGAACTAGATACAGTCGCGTATAAAAATCGTACCCTGTCTACAAATGTATGCGAATAAAAAACATATTGTACAAATATGTACAGCAAAAAGCAAGAAGTACCCTTAGTTTCCAAAAAAACAGTATCAATAGTTTCGAATTAACGTGACTCACTCGACTAATGGCATCAAGCACATCGCTCAAGTAATTTAACGTCTCTTTCCTAGTTATTTTCATCACATTGAAAAGGGCTTCGCATGCATAATGTCGTACGCGTGGGTCGTTATCATGGAATGTGCGAATTATGGGTAAAATTATTGGTCCGTGAAAAAGACATGCGTCCTAAATAGGTTGCAGTATACAGTGACATATGACTGCGTTACCTCATTTAGTCCAATAGCTACAGATGCTAGACCAAATAAACCACCTTTTCGAGTATGAGGGTTGGCAGACTGAATAAAGTCCTGGCTGAAGTATCCAATGATTCGAGAAATATCTGAAAGCTTATCCTGACTAATATAATCTTTGACAACTCTATATTCAGTGTAAGTACTCAATACGAATTACCTTTCGACTTCTTGGGATGCCAATTTGCGTTTATCAAAAAGCTTATCCACAAGATTTTTAACACAGCTGGACGAAAGTGGAGCATAATCACGATCCATAGTTGTAGTACCTACAGAAGAAATATTAATAAAGTTTATGCTCACCCTAAGATTTGAAAAATACAATCAGCAACAGATACAAAAAACCGGTCGTAAAGATATAAAATCACGCCTAAATAAATATGAACGTCCGGTTGACAGGGGAAAAGTTCAGAGGGACTTTTTATACGAACCCAGCTTACAGTAAATTAAGTATTTGAATCTGGCAGCTGTCAAACCAGTAAAGTTTATCTCCGGATTAGTGAAAAATGGCCCTTAAGTTATCAGAAAACGAATAATCCAAAGTGAGATGAACCATACAAAAAACGGTAAGACCATAACTTACGGACGACCTTAGAGCAACGCTGAAATGACCTTGGGCTGCCCACCTACTTATCAAGGTTAGGTGAGGGTCATATAACCTGCTATCTCAAATGTGATTGTACGTCCATAAATTATAGTCTCGCCAAAAAAAATTAAAAACACCCGAAGCGGAGAAATATGTATAGTCAGAGGGAGAAACAATGTTTATAGAAACTAATAAACAAGAGAAATAAGAAACAAAGGTTAGAAATGGTATTAATTCATTATGTACATTCGTATCATAACTATTTGTACAAAACTACCATCTCCGACTGAAAACTTGAGTGCCGGAGAAACTTGACAACCCTTTAAACGAATAAACAACATTGATTTTTTGGTTGTACGTAAATACTAGCAATCAATTAACTCGTCCCCGACCTGTTGTTTAGATGCTTTCAAAAGTGAAGTGGGTTTAGAAAAATTAAACGGAAATCAGATGGTGAGACAAAAGCACAGAATTTACTTATCCATTTAAAAAGGCTACATTAATAAAGTATACGGACGGACCAATCAGATTTCCGGTCGTCAATTATTCTTAATGATGGAAACCATGTTTCAAAAACGTTCGTTAGTACCTTCAGGGCTGTACGCAAATTATAACTAGATTACTCTTTGTATCATAAACCATTTAATGATCAAACATTTGTTGGTCACACCCATACTCTGCCTCCACCAACATGCATAATAATAACCGGAAAATAGACAGATAATATATTCAAATGACCCGGAGGCTTTTAGCCTTTAGTGGATTTCCTTGAAGCCTGGAAGCGCTTTGTGTACTGGGGGAGTAGAAAGAGCAATGTATAAAGGGATCTGTAGAAGAATGTAACACGAAATGTAACGCGAGGTGACCTTATACTGGCATTTCGTATCTTTAATTATGATCTGGGTGTTAATATGTCCTACCTTTTTGCTCCCTCCAGCACTAATAATCTCCGGGGTCATAGCAAGAAGGTTCTGAAACCGCGATCCAATAAACTAAAGGTGGGGTCCCGTTTTTCTCATCGAGTGGTCAATGATTGGAACGCTTTACCAGAACAAGTGGTATCAGCACCATCAGTGAACATTTTCAAAAAGAAGCTGGACCTTCACTGGAAGGAAATCTGTCAGGATTAACACAGGTTCATCAACCTACTATCCTTATTACTGAAGACTGAAAAGTCACCCGGAAACTCGATAGGCAAGTGGATTGAACTGACACCTACTAATGACAGAAACTGAAAATGGTCACTAGTAGCACTAAGACATTGGAACACCCTGGTAATCAAAACAAGAAATCGGCAAAATGCCTACCTACAGGCGCGACCACAGGCTTGCTCAAAGAATACCGCCGTATCTCTTAAAACGACCTTGAGCGACGTGAAGCGGTCACTTTGAAATTCAATTGCTTTGTGTTTGTTGGGTGTCCATTGGATTGCACATATATTGGGTTTTCTCATATTTGGGTGGTCTTTTACTGCAGCAAAACCACAAAACCATTGCAAAGAACATTAATTTAGCTTTCTCTCTGTCTTGTAGTGTATACGTTGGATCGATTGTTGCTTCGTAACTTGATCGTGAATGCCAATTTCTATACTGAACCTCAAGTTTGAAACTTAATAAGGTCCAGAAAACAACGTAACAAAACTAAGAGCGAATTAACAGTTCTAGATACGCGAACTTTGTGTACCACTGTTTTATTCATGAATTAAGGCGACACATCAAATAATCGGTAGGTCTTAAATGTTAGTAGCATCATGGTGTGCGCGACCGATGTCGTCAGATATTGAAGAGGTAAATAAATCCCTGAAATAAATAGCTCTGTAACTCTTCGACATTGGACGTTGACCACATTAGTTGCAATGAACTCACCTAGCTAAAGGCGCGTTGTCATGCATCAGAACTAGTTCACGAGTAAGAACGCCGTGCTCAACATCCCATGCAATCACTAGCCTGCTTAGATCAGTCAATTCTCAATATACTGATACCCCATCAAATATTTATCCAATATTTATTCGAAAACCCTCGATTCTGACCTTCGATTATATTAGATGGGTACGATTCATAGTTGGTGTTACTGGTTAAAACGTTGAACAATGAATACCTGTGGCACACTAATGAACCTAACGTGATCTGGTACAACAACCTGAAAACTGTTAGTCTGTTCCTTTCTGGAATTTCCTGAATCACTGCTTTATTTTGATTTTTATATACTGTGATATTTTCTCTCGGGTTTTTGGTTAATTTTTTTCCTCCTTCATTCTCGTAGTTGATATTTCACCATGACGGGACAGACACCTAAGGTACCTTAGTTAAAGACTATATCCCCATCTTCCTTTCAAACATAGCCCTTCTGGCCAGACAACATCGAAGCCTGGTTCTGCTACGCAGAAGCCGACTTCCAAGAGCACGGCATTACTGATGCACGCGCACAGTTCCTCGAGGTAGTCAAGGCACTACCCCTCGAATTCAACAGGTACGTAACACCTAGTATGCTTACTAGTGATGTTTTGGAACCTTACGAAACTCTGAAACGGTCGATTCTTAAATGCAGAGATCTAACTGGTCGACAAAAGTTAGACCAAATCCTTAATAATATCGACCTGTAACATGGTTCTGCAACAGATATGTTGCTAAAAATGAGAGACGTTATCGGCCAAAGAACTTCGGGTGATGGCCTATTCAAACAACTTTTCTTGTTCAAACTTCCTGAACAGGTGCAGGCAGTTGTCGTCTCGTTTCAAAATGACGCCGTGGACGAGCTGGCAGCATCTGCCGACCGCATCCTAAGAATCACGAAATCTTCTAATGCCGAGGTTTTTTCAGTCATAGAAAGACCTCAAACGACCCAGAATGACTTTACGGAATTATGTCACTAAACTAATTCACCTACGACAGCGTAAAAGCGATCGAAAATTTTTTTGGTTTTTTTTAAAAATTAAATATATGCATACTAGTAAAAAAGTTTTCTTTAATAAATATATAAGCATGAGCACATTCAAGTCTCTATTATTACATATAGTGAGAAGGAAAATCGAGATAAAGCGAAATCTCTGGTGTCTTACGTGCAATAGTCGATTAAATGTTCTGGAAATCTTACTCTTCTTCCAGAACACGTTGTTCTAAGTCTATTTTCAGATGCTGTCGAAGTATGAACATACGTGTTGGCTGTCAGATGAGGAATAAAATGTGTATGAGCCGTGTCGTTCGATTGTACAGAATGAAAATCGACGTGGATAGGATTTCCTCCTAAGTACGTTGCTTTGGGGCGACCGATACCGATGCTATCGTTACTACTGTTCTAATCGATTATATAGTACTTAGGTTCACGCTGAAGAACTTTGAAGGGTCCTTCGTATGCTGACTCGAGGGGTCGCTGAGGATAGTCTCGACGAACGAAGACATGTGTACCATATCGTCGAGTGGAATCAGGCTTAACTGGACGGATCGCGTTTGTAAGCCTGATCGTGTAGGAGTTTAGATGCATGTTTATTGAAGAAAACAAAGGATCCACGAATTCTCCTGGTAGTCGGAGTGTCGTTCCGTAAACGAGTTGAGATGCAGTGTATTTAATGTCAGCTTTCATTGCGGATACCTGGCAAGACGAGTGGAAGAGCGTCTGTCCACTGTGAAACGCTTGTAGCTGATAATGAAGCTTTAATTTGTCGATGAAAACGTTCTACCAACCCGTTTGCTTGTGGGTGGTAGGCGGTCGTTCGGAAGCGAGTGATTCCTAATAGTGAGGTCAGACAACGGAAAAGTCCAGATTCAAACTGGCGTCCGCGGTCTGTAGTGATGGTTGAAGGGCAGCCGAAATTTGCTACCCATCGTTTTGCTACCCAGCGCGGGTCACTGTATCAACAGTTATTTCCCTAATAGGTACTGCTTCTGGCCATCCTGTGAAACGGTCTACGCATGTTAAGAGATATGAGTATCCATTTGAATCTGGTAAGGGTCCTACCAAATCTAAATGAACATGATCGAAACGAGCGTCAGGGGTTTTGAAAGAGCCCAAGGGATATTTGTTGTGTCTAATGACCTAAGATTTCTGGCAGCTTACACAGGAGCGTGCCCACTCCCTCACGTCTTTATTCATACCAGGCCAGCAAAACCGTTTTGCCATAAGCTTGATGGATGCACGAACACCTGGATGAGAAAGATTGTGCAACGTATTGCAGACGTTGTGTCGATAATGTATTTGTACGATTGGGCGATCCCTACCTGTAGATGTGTCACAAAGTAAGGTTTCCTTACCTGTTCCCATATGCTTAATGCGCAGCTTTAAAGTTGTTGAAAATAACTCATGCTGAAGATAAATGTCTTCTTTTTGAAGCCGAGCGAGTTTAAGAAGGTCGATTCCTTGGAAACTGTTCAAGGAACTTATACGAGACAAAGCGTCTGTGACTACATTGTTCGCTCCAGAAATGTGTTGTATGTCTGAAATAAACTGCGAAATGTAGCCCAGTTGTCGAGACTCTCGCGGTGAGTACTTGTCTGAGAATGAGCTTAAAGAGAAGAAGAGAGGTTTATGATCAGTAAAAAGGGTGAATTATCTTCCTTCGATAGAATGTTGGAAATGCCGTACAGCACAATACATAGCTAGAAGTTCCCTACCGAACGTGCTGTACCTAGATTCCGCATCCAGCAACAGTCTCGGGAAAAATCCTAAAGGTTGCCGAGAGTGGTTAACCCATTGTTGTAAAACTACTCCGATTGCTGAGTCGGATGTGTCTTTTGCTATACTAATGGGTGCTTGAGTGTCCTGATGTGAGAGCAGGGTTGCCTGAGCGATACGTTCCTTAACTGTGGAGAATGCTCTTCGCGCCGTGTCATCTAGACTAATTGATTTCGCATTACCACGGAGTTGGTCAGTTAACGGTTTCATAAGGGATGCGCATTTCGGTATGAACCGTCTATAGAAATTTACAAGGCCGTTAAAAGTGCGCAACTGCTTAATCGTGGTCGGTTCTGGGTAATCCAGAATGGCCGCCACTTTGCTTCTAAGATGTCGGATGCCTTAGGCATCAATAGTGTGTCCTAGGAATTCTAAGGAGTTGGTTCCGATTTGGCATTTCTGAATGTTTAGTAATTCCATGCCTTTGAAGTCGTTTGAAAAGAATGTCCAGATGCTGGAGATGTGATTCTCTGTCCGGACTTGCTATGGGGCAGTCATCAACATACGCATGTACGAAGTTGAGACCACGGAAGACGTCATCTATGAACCTTTGGAAAGTCTGGGTAGCATTTCTTAAGCCGAAAGGCATTCGCGAAAATTCGTAGAGGCCGAAAGGAGTTATGATGACGGTTTTAGGAATGTCGTCAGTAGCCATAGGGATCTGGTTGTAGGCTTTAACCAAGTCGATTTTCAAAAAAACAGTTGTACCTTTCAATGTAGCTGTCAAATCGTGAATATGAAGCAACGGGTAACGATCGGGAATGGTTTTAGCATTCGGACGCCGATAATCATCAGTTGGACGCCAATCGTTGCTGTCCTTTTCAGGAATCATGTGCAAGGGAGATGACCATGGGCTGCTTGACGGTCAAATGTTCCCTAAATCTATCATGTGATCGAATTCGTTTTTAGCCAACCTAAGCTATTCGGAGACAGTCGGCGGGCTTTCGAGAATACAGATGGTCCTGTAGTCGAGATGTAATGTGTAACATTTCTGGTTGCACACGGCAACTTCGATTGCGGTTGATATAATGAGTCTATGGTGTGCCTAATTGTGACTGCAGATAATTCGCAACCAGAAAAAGGAGTTACGCAAACAGACAACTTAGTCTTTCCTTTTACTAGCTTTCGTTTACGTGTATCAATGAGTAGATTGTTGTGTTGTAGCAGGTCTATACCAATGATTGATATAGAAACATCCGCAACCACAAGAGTCCGGTGAATGAGTTTGCGTAAACTCACGTTCAGGTAGACGTACCTTTTACTATATGTGGCGATCGGTTTTCCATTTGCAGCCTGTAAACTTAAAACAGACTCGCGAAGTCTGTCGTTGAGATTTGCTGGAAGAACGCTAACTTCTGCGCCAGTATTGGCGAGGTAGCGGACTTTCGTTGTCACATCCGTGAAGTACCAAAGACGGCTATGTTGAGCGGCTACGGTTGCCGTTAACACGTGCCAGCTGGTAAGTTTCCCTAATTTTTTTTTCGTTTAGGTCGATTTTGGGTTCAGATAATTGCAGGGTTTCCTGCAATTTCTGTGGGACTTCCCGTACTGATTATCATACCAGTACCAGTCGGCGTAACCCGTCTTTCGTGATCTAGAGACAGACCACCTACGTAAAGAGCTTCTTCGTTGTGTGACCGTTTACGGTCTAAGATCTAAGATAGCGTGTAAGTGTGTGACATAATTCAGTTATGTCATTCTGGGTCGTCTGAGGTCTTTCTATGTGTGAGGATGCTCC